AAGCAAATGGTACAATCCCTGTTTTGCAGGTTTCTTTTCCTGTCATGCTTATGTGATTCTTCTTCATCAAGCACAGCAGCAGCACACACCCATGCTTGTTAGCCACCACCCCAGCCATCCAGAGTTAGAAGAAGGGAACAAGCTCCTTTAGATCTTAGGGGTTACTAGAAGAGCACCTTTATGGGAATGGAGAGTCAACTTAAACATTTCTGCAGCCAGATTGGTTAATTTGAGTGCTGGTACAAATGTTCTGATGGCCGGGACCGAAATTTTCTGATACATTCAAAATGCAGAGAGTGACAAAGAGAGCCATGCTCTGTGATGACTTCCTGCTACATCAAAACATGGGGAGTTAAAAACTTGCTGGAAAAGTACTGGACTCAGCAGTGACCGCTCTAACACCCACCTCACTTGTTTGTGCTGCTGTTTCTGCATGTTTCACAGAGATGTTCTGCTAGCTGTCACCTTCCCAGGATAAGTCTGCCCCTGGTATTAGTTTTCTAAAGTCCTTCTTTTCTACTTCTCAGGTGTTTTAGGCAATTACTATGCAAACTCTTTTCTGTTTCCTCAGATTCAATAAGCGGAGACGATAATTAAAACTCCTCAAATGTAAATAAAAGCATGGAAATGCTGTTTAAAGTTATTTTAAGTTACTGGTGAGCTACCAGTTGGGTTGTCCTAACGCAGCTTTGTGTCATTGTAGCAGACACCAGCAGCTTTGCATAGGCTGAGGGCTTATCCAGTGTTGATACTTCATCTCTTTCAATCTGCGAGGGTAGAAAATGTAGGGAGAGAAGCCCACCACTACAGGACTCACTACAGCGAGTGAGACTGAGCTTCTGCATGGATCTGCCTAGAACCATGCTTGAACATCCAAAAAAACCCCAATAGAACATAATTTCAACTCAACACCTCAAGTTTTATTGAAGTACATAAAAATTATTTCTTTTTCTTTAAAAAGAGAAAAAACAAGGTTTTATAAAGAGTTTTCTCCCCAGTTCATCCTGGATTACAAAACATTATGTAATCCTAATTACTTACTAAACATTACTCTGAATTGCCTTTTTCTTCAGCTGACAGAAGCAATGCATTATTGCTGATACACAATTCCAAAGAATTGTCACTCACTGTCAATTTCTTCTATTTAAGGAGAAACAGCCTCCTCAGAATAATGAATTCAAAATTTCAGTGGCCTAGAAACCCTGAGGGTTTTACAGCTTGACCTTGAGGTTTGGGTTCTGTAATGACACTGCAGAAATTCCTGCTGATTCTATGTAACTTCATAAAAGACACACATCAGTATTCACAGGTGCTAAATCTCTATGTCAGAGAGAATCTCTATCTCAGAATTTGTGAGTTTTTTACATACTATACTAGGTTTAACAACAACTTCATTAATAGTGTTGCAGATCAGTTAGTATTGAAACATTGAAATTAGGTTTACCTGGATGTAAATGAGAACAGAATACAAGCTTTATCACAGAAATTTCACTCCTCCTATTCATGAATTTTCCATGAATCAAGGAATTGATTCCTTTAATCAATGGGGTAAAATCTTGCACCTGTGACATTAAGATGCACATGCTTAATTCTGGCAATCTAGCACACATAAAAATCACTGCCTGAAAGACAGGCTGTGTCTGTATCTTTGCACTGTAAAATGATTAGAGTTTTATGAGAAAGGAATGAAAGGGGATAGTTATGTCTTCAGAAATCAGTTTATCTAAGCTAGTGTGGTGTCACTCATGAGGCAGAAGTTACACGCATGCATGATTTATGTGCTTCCATATATCAGATCATCCAGATTTCTTTTCATTGTAAAACTGATATTGATTCTCCTGTATTAGTAATACTGACACTGGGATAATTCTGACATCATTGTAAAGTATGCACTAATACCTCCTTCCTTAGCGAGACCATTTTGCTCAATAAATCATGGTAAGAGTAAGGAGAAGAAAAGACGGAGGAAAAAATGTTATTAGAACTTGCTGGAATCAGTGTCCAGTCCACATTGACTGCCAAATGATACCATATGCTTTATCAGGTAAGTCTACTATTTTCAGACAGTAAGCAAGATACCAGTGTGTAAAACTTGCAGTTGATACTGATGGAGAGCAGAATCGATGCAAGAAATAAACCAAAACCTGGTATCACCCTCATCCTCCAGTATATTGAATGCACGTTTTAGTCCAGAAGTGTATTTCAAGCAAAATGTTGCATATCTCAGAGAAAATGAGAGGTGTTTCTTTAAGAACCTACTTCTACTGGAGGTCAATGGCTTTAGTATTGTTCATTAAAAATTAAGATATTTATTGACCAGCAAACCACAGCAACTGGTTTATGGCAAATAGATACATGTATCAGGGAAAAAGCCCTGGAGGAAACATTCTTTCCACAATAAAATTAGATTCACAGGTCACAGATGATTTGCTAATTCTTTCCAAGTTGTAGAGCCGTAATTTGTGGAAGAGTTCTCCCAGATTCTTTACTTGCACTACAAAAAAGAATCTTTTTTTACTAAAATGTAAGTTGCATGCACTCACTAGTGACAACCCACAGCTGATTGAATTAATATAATTCCGTAAGAACAGAGCCCTGCTATCATGAAGGTAAGAGGTATTCTTTGAACTCTGTTTCCATTATTCTCTGTTAAGCTTCTTTTTAGCAAGCCCAGATGGAGGAATAGCTAAAGGGCTGGATAGTTTGTTTTTAATGCAGAAAGATCTCACATGTCAGCTATTCGGTCTGCCCTCGCGATGTAAACATCTTGCCACTGCCTGCTTGTAGTTTCTACAGACAAGCTTTTCAAAACCTGCAACTTCAGCTAGCACAGCTCACAAGGTGGGGAAGCTCTGCCTGCAGCAGACACCCTCTTGCCCAAGCCATGCCCTCTCCTGTTGCTGGAGCATGGACATGCCAGTTATGGGACTGGAGTGAGTGCCTCAGACCCTCCAGGTCCTGCAGTAAGGGTATTTGTGATGAGAGAGAGGGCACTGACAGGAATCCCCAACACTACTGGCAAAACTGCTCTGACCTCTGCCATTTTGAGCATCATAGCTTGCCAATCTCCTGACTAATCTCTCCAGAGGATGAACAGAGAGATAAAGAATGTGTTTTGTGAGGGTGAACTTTCACAGCAAATGAGCAACCAGTGGGATGATGCAATGTATGGGCTATGGGCCACCAATAGTCCCTGCTTTTTATAGCAAGAAAAATAAGGTCTTGAAAGTCATGGCTGTCTCTGTCTATGCCACCAATAACTTCATATACCTTTATATGAATATGTATATATATTTATATACCTATATACATGTATATATATGTATATATAGGTATATACCTATATATACATATAACTTTCATATCCCCATATATCTGCATTGGGGATCCTTTAGGACCAAGAGGTGGCAGACAGTGATAGTCTGCAGGTTAAACACAAGGTTGTATTTACCACCTGCTGCCTAATGCACTCTGAGCAGGAGGGAGGCAGGAGCAACAAAGGACAGAAATTTCCATCTTTTCATCTTCTTCTACTGAGACAAATCAAAGCCTTGGAAGAAGCTTCTCTCTGTACACTTCATGTTTTATGATTTCCTAATAAACTTACCGGGCCCTAAAATTATTTGTCTTTGATTAAAAGTAAATGTTAAGCACATGTTTTGGAGATTACCAACTAGGCAGCTGTGTTTGAAAACATACCCTGCAAAATGTTAGCAGGCTGAACAAGGCTTTCATGGAACATTGCAGAGCACTAACATGTTTTAGATAGAACAATCAATGAGGCAACTCTCAGTTGTGACTGATTTTTTCAATAGGCTTCTGTCAATCAATTATTTTCACTTCTTTTCTTCCCATTTCTATCCTTGTTACAAGGTCCCCCCATGCATCTGAATGGTGATACCAACGAACAGTCCATAAAGTCATTGTCACACTGGGGCTCTGCCAAGCTGGCTCCCTGGTGCTCCCTGTGGCATTCATGGGGACAAAGCCAGATTCATTTATATTTTTTCACCCTTTTCTTCATCTGCTTTACAGATGACTCTGTAGTTATTGGAATTGTATCAAGATCTGGACAAAAGCACTGCTTTCTGGGGAATGAGGCTGCTGCTACATTGACGGAAATGTTTGATGTCAGCCCCCATTTGTTACATTTGCTATTGTGTTCTGCATGTGTGTAGGTGAGTGTATCATGTGGGAGAAAGAGAGATGGGTTGATGGTGGGAAATATTGCAGGACACTTCCCTCTTTTACTTAGAAAGAGGATATTTTTTATCTCATTTTTATCAAAGGTGTCATTAGAAGTAATGACAGGATAAATAATTTTAAGGCTTCAAAGAACAAGGATTCTAAAGAATAGGATTCTGAAGAACTTTAAAGAAAGGATCTGTCTTGGAGATTAAGCTTTTTTAAATCCTTCAGATCCCTTTGCCAAATGTAATAATATTCCATTATAAATCCTTCTATGAATTTACACGTAGCGTTGCATTTTTCCTTTGATGGTGCATGCAGGTACAAAAAGGCAATGATGTGTATTTACTAAACTGTTACCTTTTCAGTTAGTGAATTGCTTAGCCTGGATGCTTTCTTTCATAAATACAGTCATTAAATGCATGAAATTATTGATCTAAACTGCTTTCCTGGGAGATTGTTCCTTATAAAGAGCAAAGTCAGGTCTCTTTTTGACTGCAAGCTAAGCTAGATCTCATAATAAAACTTTCATCATAAAAAAGGAAAAAATAAAACTCTGATCAACAATAACCTCTCTATGATACATCAATGACTAAATCTCTGAGAGAGCCGGCTTTAATTTTTCTTACAGTGAAAGAGAGTAGGAAGGATGCATTTTTTTTTAAAGAGATAATGCTGAAAAGGCTGCCGAAGGGATCTCTTGCTGTTACAATTTGTAGAAAGGAGCTCTCATAATGATAGTCAGAGTTTATTGTACCTCTCTCTGTCTCCCCCCTTCCCACTCCCCCCACCCCCACCCCCACCCCGTGTGTGTGTGTGTGTGTATGCAGAGAGCTAGAGAAAGCTGGCAGCACTACCTGAATAGCTGCTGAAAGAGTGAGACTTCTCAGTTCCTGCTTCATTACTGGGTAGCAGCTATTGCAGTGTGTGCGAGCTCCTAACTGTTCTTCCCATCGAAAAGCCCTTGGTAAGTCCCCTTAGCTGGCAGAGCTGCGGATTAGCTCAGCAAAAGGCAGGAGGGGGTGGTGGCAGGGAGCTCTGGGGACATTCAGAACCCGTGCGCAGCTTAAGATCTATTAGATTTCAAGGATTTTGTGTAATAAATGTGTAAAATCTTCTGTGGATTGCTGGGATGTAAAGGCAATCACAAGGAATGTTTTGTGTGCTCAAGAGCAATGCTAAGTGCATTCAGGAATGCCTGAAACAGAGCAGAATTTTTATATGGAAGATAAGATTAGTAAATGATTCTCAGAACTGCAAGAAAAGTGGTTCTGTGTTGCTTTGTTTTGTTTACCCCTACCATTTTTTTCTTATTGTCCTTTCCATTCCCCTTCTCATCTTTATTGTGTTGAATGGGTTAATAGGCTCAGAAAGAAGAAACTGTATCTTCTTGAAGACTGATGGCATTTGAAATGTAGAACTTTAATCAGAAGAGGGATGAGAGCTGAAGCTAAAGAGGAGATAACATGCTTTTTACTTGCATTTATATTCTTGTGCCTGTTTGTGGTGTTGATTGTACAGACTTTCTATGCTCACAAAAAGTTCAAAAAGCTGGGAGATGCACATTTACTGCTCAAGATACTGATGTTTGCACTTGTATCACATGTTTTATTAGTCATCCATATGAAAAGTAGCACTCTTCAGGTAGGTCCTTTCAGTACATACAGCAAAAAGCATTCCCAGACACTCTTCTTTGCCTTGATCCTGTGAGTCAAGCTCATTGAACTCCACAGAAAAATATAGAGGCCACGGGAGAGGTCAGGTCACAACTCTCTTTGTCCCAGTTGAGCAGTGGCATTTGAAACAAGAGGCTGAAGTAATGCTGTTATCTGAGGGTCCCAGTACCTTGGACCTGGCTGTGCTTGGATTTGAAAAGTAGGAATGAGCTAACCAGGGACAGGCCGAGGTTTTTGTCTGGCAGTACAGAATGACTGCCTCTGAACTGAACCCACAGCTACTCAGTCCCCTGGCGGATAAATCCAATCTACAAGAGATGACAGCCTGACTAGCTGGGCATGGGGCCACTGGCTCATTTGTTATTGTCTATCCAGTCCACACCTTTGCTGGCTACAGCTGTCTGTCGGATTCATACATAGGTGACACAGATGTATTTATAGCTATGAGGGTTAGCTGCTCCTTATGTTTAGAAAACATACCCATGATGTGAAACTGCTGCTCAGTGTCCCTAGACATAATTTCCTTTGCTACTGAGCAAACACGATAGCTCAAAGTATTAGATTTTAGGTCTGCAGTGATGTCTTTCTAGTTTGTATGAGTAAATTTACATCTTTTCTATGGGTCAGAAGAGCAATACTGACATATTTTTCCCTTCCCAAAAGATTTCAATGTTTATTAAAGAACAACTTTCAAGCAAGTATTATTTCAGAGATTAGCCAAGCACAGAATAGGTATTTCTTCCTGAAACTCAGTAATTTTATGTTATGGTGACAGGGGAATCATGGTAAGGGGTGCGGAGGACAAGGGGATAGATAAATGAGTTTATGTAATGTGTAGCAGTGGAAATTGCAAGTAGGAGTGTGCCTCATATTCCAAGTTGTCAGAGTCAACATTAGTTCATCAATAAATTAAAATGTTGTCAAAATTGTATCATTACCTGGGCTGCTTAGTATTATAATACTGGAGTTCAATATGGAGAATAATAATTTCCAGGGGCAAGGAAAGTGAGGTTCATTCATATTTTCATCCATTAACTACATAAGTCTTTGCTGGAATACTCTTGAGTACAACTGAGTGTTGTTTTTTCTAAGTTTGTTTTGCTTTCGTCATCTGCTTGGATGTATGAAAGAGAAACAGCTCAGTGAGAAGAATTCCAGTCTGAAGAGGAGCAGGAACAAGTAACTCTCCAGCTCAATGCCACATCCGTGTACCAAGTACAGCCCTGATCACACTCATTTTAGCAAGGGAACTCTGCTTTCATCTTTGATATCAGCATGACAGGATGTTCTCAAAATATCTTAATATCAAGTCAGGATGGTAAATAAATGCCAGGGATTTTTCACCAGGGACCAGATGCCATGACCTTTCTGCCTATGGAAAGTTTGCTCTGTGAGGATGGTGCAACTCATCGCAAGAAAAAAATATGAGGAAGGCATCTTTGCTGATAGGCAAAATCTGTGTTCATCATGGGCAGTGTATGCTCTGCAGAGCCTCACCCATGACCCAAGAAATCTGTCTCCCCTCCCTTCTCACAGCAATGTGGGAAGGCAGGAAGTATTTGTGTCTTCCTGTAGAAGGGGCTACCTGTCTCACACACAAGACCACCCTACCTGTGGCTGTGCACCCACACATCCACCCAGGAGCAGATACCCTGGTCAGTGGTGGACAGGAGATGTTGCCTGTGCTTGGGCTGATCTGACTGTGTCAGCCTGCAGTCTGCATGTGTCACTTGGCAGTGGCTTGCTCCATCCTCCCTAGCAACCCTAGGGGAGTTGTTTATAGAGGATGGCCAGGTATGGTCCTAAGATCTTGCTGATAAAAAAATCTTCAGACCCTGACAATGTGAGCCAGGGAGATCTAAACTTACCTTCAAGTCAACATGGCTTTTCATCATAAATTCTCTCTGTTATTCTCTGGGTGGAAATGAGCTCTCCTCCCTGCCCCCCATCAAAGATTACAATTCATGAAGCAGAAAGTGCCAGATACTCAAGCACTGGCAGAGTTCTTTTAATTTCTATTTCTAGTTTATCATCCTTTTATATGTCAAAGTTTTCTATTTCCCCTATCTATTTTTATATATAGCAAAACTTATCAATCCATGCACTTTAATATCCATCACTAAAGCATAAAGTTCTATATATCATTGTCGACTGAACAAACAGGGATTTTCAAAGACTATTCCCTGTGCCAGCAGTGGCTTTTGTTTGCATTACTTGACTACAATTCTGTTTATAAGAATTGCAAAACCAAATCAAGGAAGCAGAAACTAGTGTCTCTGCTTTTAGGTTTATCACCCTAAAATGTCTGTTGTACTCCGACATCTTCCATCTTTCCCCTTTTCCTGGGAAATTTCCATGGCTGTGTCTTAGACCAAAGCTCTTTGAAACAGATATCACATCTCCACTCATTGCACACCCTTATGTCTATCAGGCTACATGGAAATATGAAATATAAAGCACAGCTAGAGTATTTTTAGCATGTGTAAAAGCCTAGTGCAATCTTCTGATCATAAATTATCATAACTGTTCATTTTTTTGTAACTCCTTGCACTTTGGCAGGGTCAAAAGGAGAGAAAACTATTCAAAAGTTCTGTAATTGTCTTTTAGTTTCTGGCCCCAGAGAAACAACTCAAAATCTAAACAATTGCTACCTCCATTTAATGTAGGGCAGTGGGAAGGTTGAAAGGACCTTAAAAAGACAGAATCTTGCAGTTATGAGGGGAATTATGTGTAACATTCTCGTGATTAGAATGAATTACAAATTGGTTTTGTCATTTCTAGGAAGAGTGGAAGTGATATTTAGTAGTATATGAATTCCCCAATAATTGGTACCCTGTAATATAAATTAGATTAGAGGCAGTTTACCAAGTCCCAGTACAGCAAGTTTTCCTTTCACTATTCTGTCAAAGGAAGATAATCTATAATGTATATTTTAGAAGACAACTGCAGCAAAGGAAAGCTACCATCCTAAAGGAAAAAAAAAATTACTTGAATGGGACTTTGCAGTCAAAATTCCTTGCTGGTTTAAAGAAGACTGTCTGTAATCAGAAATAATACTGAGCTTGAGTGTTTCCCTTACTGCACTTCTATGTTAACTCTGCTAAATAATTAAAGAAATGAAGGAGAGCAGAACAGATAACTAGGTAATAGCAGGCATAATCACATCCCATTCCTTTAAATGTGGATCTGAGTTCTTTGACTTGCAATTGGTGGGTTTTTTTTCACTGAGAATCTGTGGCAGGATATGTTCCTAGTACTATAACAAATGCTATTAAAGCATTTTCTTTTCATTATGAAAACAAAGCTGAAGCACTATAACATATGTTGTGTTGATTCATGTCTCAGAAAATATAATTCCATGGAGATATATTTTATAAATGCAATAAGAAAGCAGCTGATTCCTTGGAAAAATGCATTTGACTGCAGCATTGGCCACTTGCATTTTGTACTTGACAAGTACTCAAAAGCACAGTATTTTAATACATTGCCACAAAACCTAAGAATTTTCATTCAAATGCAACACTGTTCCTTTATCTTCAGAAATGTCTTAAATGATGCTACTGGAAAATGGAAAACATTGGTAAACAATTCAGTTTTTGGGAATCTGACCCTGATATTCAGTTGCTAATGTTCAGAACTTCAGATGGGATATCTCCTCATCTGCAAAAAAGAAAAAATATTTCTCCCTCTCCTTCCACCTAGGCACCCTTCATCTGTCTTCTGTGCTTATGCAGCACACTGAGGTGAGAGGCTGTGCCTTATATGCACAATACCTACACAGGCAGCACCTACACAGTTCATGCCTGCAGCCTTTAGGTGCTCCTGTGAAAGAATTCTCCCCACATACTGCTAGCTGATATTCTTAGCATCAGCCTGAGCCAACTGGATGGTGCCAGTGATACTGGGGAGCGTTTCCCTCAGAGCTCAGAGCACAGGATCACCTGCAGGCTCCAGACCCTTTACAGGACTGGTGCAGCAGTCTCAGAAAACTTCTGTTCCCCCACCTATAGCTGATCCCCTCAATTAATACTATAATCTCCTTTTTCAAGGGCTTGAAGGAAAGACTCAGCATACCATTTCTAGAATCAGTGTCTGGGAATGTATGTGGCAATTATATCAAGAATACTGAGAATTACCAATTTCTTTGGCAGTTCTAGCAGCTGCACACAGCTGACTGCAGTAAGTGTTTCTTTCTGACAGTTGACTCCATATGGTGAATCTGTGGTGAGCTGACATGTGCTCTAACAAAGTATATTCTTGCAGAATTTTTTTTCTGTCCAGAAACCCACTC